GGCTAAATTATAAAATTTTACATGAATAAATATATCTTACCTTTTTAACCATGTTTTTTTAACTATATTCTTTGTGTCCTTGGTATCCTTGTTTTATGGATTTCTTTTCTCTGATATATCTTTTCATAGTGTTTCAGGTCAATATGTCTGCTTCAGTTACTCCTTGTACTTTGGACTCTAATTAGATCCTCTAATTTGCATTAGCATTTTTTTCTCTTAGAATCTTTAGCCACATCCAGCCTCGGTTGTGCAGCGACAGTGTACCAGGCTGCAGAGCTGGAAGCCACATGCCAACCGCGGTTTCCTCCCTGTCTCAGATGGCCTGAAAACATGCTGCGTGCATGCACATGTACTCCGGCAAGTTGGAGAACCAGAGGGGATCACAGTATGACTGAGTTTGTGGGAGATGTTTCTCTCTTTTTCTTTCCATTCTCTCTCATGCATCCATCTATGCTTTCATGAAATAGACTGCTGGTATATTAGCCCACTATTTGCCACATATGGAAAAGAGCCATAATAGATTTATAATATATTATTATTATTTCTCATAAAATAATAGGTTCTTAATATTTTGTTGATCATAAGACAGATGATAATACTTTATTTCATTATCATTATAAGGCATAATTTATGTATAATATAACTAGAAACAAAGACATGATTTTTGTCAATGGATCTTTGTTTATCTTATTTGCATATGAAATAGTCTATTTTTTTTTTAAGAGAGATTTTTGCTATAGGGTGTGTGCTCTGGCCAGAGAGACAGAGAGAGACAGAGAGACAGAAAGTGAGAAATCACAGGGGGGATGGCCACAACCACAATCCCTTCTTCTCCATTCTCCTCTTGGGATTTTGGGCACACATGCACACGTGCCTAGCAAGAGTTTTAAGCACCAGGGTCTGAGACTCAAACCATGGTTGACTGAGTGGGAAGTCCAGTGATGTAACCATTATGCCTGCTGGTCCTAATATACCTTTAATATGTAAGTTAGAAAAGGACAAATTAGGGCACCAGCAGATAGCGTAATGGCTATGTTGCTGGACTCCCATGTAGTCGACCGCGGTTCACGTCCCAGACCCAGTGGCTTAAAACTCAAGCCAGACGTGTGTGCGTGCGTGCGCAAGATCCCGAGAGGAGAATGGAGGAGAAGGGATTGCTGCGTGACCATCCCCCCTGGGGGGTGATTTCTTGCTTTCTGTCTATTTGTCTCTCTCTGTCTGTCTGGTGAGTGCATGCGCACTATAGCAAGGAAAAAAAAAAAAGAAAGAAAGAAAGAACAGGACAAATTACAGTGTTAAATTTAGAATCAGAATTTTGCAGCTAAGAATGACCGTGGAGGACATCCATAATAGCTCACGTTCCTCATTTCATAGATAAGAGAGCAGGTAAATTGCTTACTGTCTAAGGTCATAGAAGACTTAGTGACAGACTAGGAACTAGAATTCATGAATCCTGGGTCCCCAGCCACAGTAGCTACTACTCCAAGCCTAACACACAAATATTTTGATTGAGAGATTTTGTTAAGGTCGACCCATGTTGGGTTCACCCCCTATTAGAAATGTATCCATTTGCACTCAGTCACTGTACCTTTAATTCAGGCCATCTATAACCTCGTGAACCAGAAGTTGAGATACAAAACTGTCATAGACCCATCCTCGCACAGAAAATACATATGCCACACAGATGCTGGATAGCCATCTTGTTTCCAAAGACAATAAGCCTCTTCTAAGTGGAAGCAATCCAGTCTACATTCATTTGATGGATATTTAATTTCTTTCCTCTATGAAGTGGACACTGTACCTTTCCTTTCTTAGAGTCTCTGACCTCAGGGAACTTACACTCTAAGATGAAGGCAAATGTAAAATGACCATGCACAGTTGAATCTTAAAGTATCTTAAAAGCATGAAGTTAAACATTTTACTCCTTGCGTGAGTTTCTTGTGAAACCTGCCCTTTTAACGTATAGCCAGGAAAGGAGCAGACAGACATATCATGGAAAGCTGGTTATTGAGAATTTTCAAGCTTTATTTGATCCATGACTAGCAACTATTTCTCCTGCCAGGTGGACGTTTGTCATTAGGAGAAGTTTTGTTTTGGAATTGGGAGAGCCAAGTTTTGAGGTGGAGTAGGGAAAAAGGAAATACATATTCATTATGTTTTAACAAGCAGTACTTTTATTATAATAAAAGTAATTCATTCCTTGAGTAAAATGTTCAAACTATAAAGTACAAAGGCAAAATTCTCTCTATTTTGGGTATACATTCTATTTTTTTGAGTAACAATGCTCATTCAACTCATTTATAATTATAAGATATTATGAATCCTCAAGATGTTGAATCCCAGGGAATGGGTATGTGTGCATGTGTGTCCAAAATGCCAAGAGAAGAGTGGAGGAGAAAGGATGGCAGCATGGTCATCCTGCATAGAGGGTGACTTCTCATTTTCTTTCTCATTCCCAAACGTGCATGTGAGTACATGTACCCTATAGCAAACACCTCCCCCCCCACACACACACATTAAAAAAACCCTTAAAAATAGGGGTAATTATTATGTTATAATGTTGACTTTTCTTTTTTTTTAAGAGAGGTTTTTGCTATAGGGCACGTGCACTTGCTGGAAAGACAGAGACAGACAGACAAAAAATGAGAAATTATTCCCCTAGGGGGATGGCCACACCACAATCCTTTCTCCTCCATTCTCATCTTGGGTTCTTGGGCATGCACACACATGTACCTGGTGTGAGTTTAAGTTGCCAGGTCCAGGACTCAAACCATAGTTGACTACATAGGAGTCCAGTCATGTAAACATTACACCATCTGCCTGTCCTACCATAAGTATATAAATCTACCTCATTTAAAAAAATAGTTACATACTATGCCTTTTTATGCATATGTCATAATTTATTCAAGCAGAGTTGATTCTTTTTTGAAAAGTTTATTTAATTCATGATAGAAAATACATTTATGTGCAGGATCTTGTCACTCCACAGTCACCTGTCCCCAGCTTTCTAGCTCCTCAGATCTTGGGCAAAGGCACACGCAACCCAATGTGTGGAGGTCCACCCAGGGATCTGAACCTACGGTTGGCCATGTAGCTTTTGCTGTAGTTCAGTTTGCTACCTTCCAACTATGTTATCAAGCTGGGACAGTTGACTACATTTTTAAAGACAGAAGTACTGGGGAGATAAAACATTTATTTAAACATACATATATTTGAAACACCATTGTCATTGTGGATAGTAGGATTGTTAAAATAGGAGTCAAGATTTATTAAGTTAATGAATACATTATTTCTTCACCTTTGTTGACTTGTTGAACCCATCAGTGTTTTCACTGCTTGTTTTTGTGTTTTCATTCATAACTGCTGGTAACTTTCTCCCCAACTAACTGGAGGAAGTGGTAAAACTCAAACTTCTTCCTGTATGAGGCCACACTTGGTGTCTGTAATTATCTAGACACGGCCTCCAGGGTCCAACATCCTTGCCTTTTAACTCACACGGATTTTCTTGAGGAATTCCTTGGCCCTCTTCTGCTCCCCACTTGGCTCGACTTCCTGTCTCTTATCTGTAGCAATCTATCAAGACCTTATAATGTGCTCAGTGCAGGGCAGAACAAATCTGTGTTCCAGCTCACAATTTAAGGAAGGCAGGAGGCTAGTTTTCGTTTTAAGATAAAAATCTTTTAACAAAAACACAAACTCCCCCAAACTTCCTTTCAACCAAATAGCATTGTCACACCCTCACAGACTCCTATTAGTTACAAGGCCAAGTGACTCAAGATTACGAACATGTCTATTCATAAAGAGTTAGCTGGCCCCAAATCAGCACCCGCAGGCCCTCCCCCATCTTCCTTCTCTTCCCCCTGGGAGACTGACATTTGGAGCTCGCGCTGCACAGCACGTTTTATTAGAATGAAGACAGTGTGTTTGCTGCCGGAACTGTGTGTCCTGGGATTTTTAGAAAGCCTTTTCCATTCCTTTTGAAGTCCGGTTTTTTTTTTTTTTTTCTTTTTGAAGTCCGTTTTTTTTTTTTTTTCCTGAGGTGGGGTAGAGATCAGATATGTTGGCCTGTAAGACCTGCAATTTAGAAATACATTATAAAAACGGAAACGGTTAATAAAGGGAGAAACAGAGCTGAGTATTCATATCAGGGATCACCTACATCTACATTCTTATCACCCAGGGCAGAGACGGGGATTCGAGAACTAGGGGAGCCTCGTCTTCGGTGGGGGTACAGGTGAAGCTACGGCTAAGCCTTCGACCTCAGTCATCACACCAGAACAGGCCCCACTTCCCCGTGGGTCTTTCATTTCACACCTTCCTCAGCAGAATTAAACAAAAGTCACCGCAAACCCGGATGCGTGCCCGAGGCCTCAGAGCAC